ACATTAAGCAGAAAATAATTTTATTATTGATATTAAAATTATTTTCTGTTTAATTTTGTTCAGATGTAACCCCATCACACAGCCCACATTTCCTTTGAAAATATCTTTCAAACACAGATAACTTGTGCATTATCCACCTGAAATTACAATACTACCTTGGAGATTATGTAGTATTTTAAATTTTAATTCAAAAATATTTTATTATTAAAATAAGATCTGTCTTATTTTAATAAAGTTTTACAACCAAAGAATGTAAATTATGTCGGAATTCAGCCTGTAGGAGTCTTTAACATTTGGTGACAAAGTTTAAATAAGTTTAGATTATGTGTTATAGACAGTATATAATTTTTTGAGTTGAATGTGTGTCCATAACAATACACACACACACACACACACACACACACACACACACACACATATGTGTGTGATGTTCGTATGCCACTGATATATATTTATCAGTGGCATGTCGGCATTGGAAACGATGGATGCGCCGCTTCCCTTGTATTTTCTAAAAAATAAATACATATTAATTTTAATTATATGAAAAAAATCGCACAATATTTTATTATAACTGCATTATGTATCTTATTACAAATTTCTATACTACACGTGAAAAAAAAAAAGATAGACTTGCTATGTGGTGGAGCGGAAGCACTGTATTGTCAGCGTCCAAAAAGCCAGATTTGTGCACACGCTTTACAGAGCACCAACCTCACCCAGTTTAGCTGGTGGAAGCCTAGGACTTTGCCGCTCTCCCATCTTATATTACTTACAGATTTCAATGTTAAACCAGTGATATTATGATTTCGTATGTCCCATCTTTAATTAAGGGAATGGAGAAAAAAACATGTACAATTCTTGTACAATGTTAAAAAATTAACTGTTACTTTGGTAGCATTTACATTACATTACAACTAAATTTAATGAATGAGAGAGATGCACGAGGTACAGAAAAAGCTCTAGAATTTATATTCCTTAAATTTACAATTTATATATCCGTTGTCATAAAAATTTGTCTTTCCACCTTTTTCCCAAGACTACAAATATTCGAGTACAAAATAACTGGTTGCAACTTATTTCTACTTAAGTAGTAGTTAAATAATTAAGTGATTAGGGAATTGGGGACATAAACAAAACCCTGATGAAAGAGCTGAAATTTTACTTAAACAAAAGCTTAACCGAACCAATCTATAGCTGAGTACAGTGGGGACTGATTTCTTCGAAATATTAGATGTAATAAAGACAGAAATTTTTCCAGTTCAGCGAGAGTGACCGAAAAGTTGGAAATTTCCGTGGACAACACCTGAATTAGTTAGAAAACAAGTGACTATTAAGTCTAACATATTTACACTTTTACAGCTATGGTGAGAAACGTTTAAAATTTACAACAGCCCTGCCGTGTCCTTTGAGATATACTAGTGATGCGACTAAACAGGCATTTGACATTGATCGGTGTGGTCACCCTCGGGATTTGGCAGCCCGCGTGCATGCACACACACCACACCTAGCAGGACCGTCTCTGATTCCACTCGTAGGGAGCTATTTGACTAAGTGGTTAAGATTTAAAAAGTAAAGATGATTTTATGTTATTTTTATGTACAGTATGTTTCTTTACAAAGCTATATTTAATTATAATTTTCTTTAAAAGTATATTCATACAATTGAAGAATGTTTTGTACCAGGTATGTATATCCACCACACATTTTATTTCACCAAGTAAGTTTTCATTATTTTATTTTTAATTTTAGCCCTTATATTGTGGCTAGCGATTCAGAATGTAATTGCGATATTGAAAATTTATTTTAAAAAAGTTTTGGCTCAAGATCATATAATGAGAAAGAAAACATTATTAAAAGAGAATGGCCAATGCCTAAGTTACACTTCAGCAAAAAAATTTGTTCGACATTTTCGCGATAAAATGGCTCTGTAAATGCATAAAAATGCAAAAATTGTTTTGTTGGCTTGCCTACTACTGTATTTTCAAATGAAATTAGTGTGTGGAATAAGAATGGCTTTGACAATTTAGCTGGCAAAAGACACGAAAAATCGTCCATTCTTTCGTATTTGAAGCAATTTGTAAATCAAAGCGGAATAGAATTTAATTAACATTAGTAAATAATATAAAATAAATATTGAAAATTATAACGATAGTTACAGCGTAGATATATTTAAATTAATAGATCTTATATGTTTTTATCAAAGCGAGAATCGGCATTTAAAGGGCATAGGGAATCTGTTGAATCTAATAAGGTAATTATATTGAACTTGCTTATTTATTAATTACATCAGGTAAATAACTATTAAAAATATATTTAAAGAATTAACTGATTGCCCCTGGAAGTCAGCTTCTTACAGAAACACAGCTTCCCTCTCATCAAATGTCACGGCACGCCACTGATATATATATATCAGTGTGTGCAGCATAACTATATATATATAGTTATGCTGCGCACATTTCTACTAAATTTTATTATATATATATTTAGAAGAAATTTACATCCACAAACCTTTTATGGTGCGACATTAAATAAAAAAAGAAATGAAATAGTTTTTTCAACATTTAGAAGAAATGTTGGAAAAACTAGCTGGGACAAACAGTAAACTGATATTGAAACAATCTGCAAAAGACAAAAGTTATGTTTAATGAATTTACTCTGAAAATGAAGATTATGACAAACGGAACTGAGATTGAAGAAGTACAGAATTATGTCTATCTACAAAATTATTCATAGACATAATTTTGTACTTCTTCAATCTCACTTCTGTTCAAGATCAAAAAATAACTATGGATAACAATATCATGTATGAAATAACAGGAGAAGAAGAATTAGACAGAAGAACAGCGAAAGAATTAGGATTGGATGGAGTACATTTGGCAAATATAGCATAATTCTAAAAAGCCACTATGTCTGAAAAGAAAAGTATTCAACCAGTGTGTTCTACCAGCATTCACCTATGGCGCAGACAACCAAAACAATAGAGGCTAGACTACAAAAATAAGTATGGTAAGATGGATACTGAGCATTACAAGAGAAAAAAAGCAAATCATTTGGATCAAAACAAAGGTATATGATAGCATTGAAAGGATCAAATATTCAAAATGGCAATGGACTGAACACATTGTCAGAAGATAAGACAACAGATGGACTATAAATATTCTAGATTGGTTGGTACCCATGAAGAATCAAGTGCCCGAGACAAAGATCTCAAGTATGATGGAGTAGTGAAATAAGTAAAGTGGCTGGCATACATTGGAAAACTAAAGCATTGGACAGAGAAAAATGTAAAAGATTAGAGGAAATCTTCATTTAGCAGTGGATTGATAATGGTGATGATATAGTAAAATATATACCAAATATGTGAAATTATTAAATATGCATAAAAATGATAATGTTTATTAGTAATACAGTATATTCAATTGCATATATATAGACTATAACTGATTTTTTATTATTAACTTAAATCTAGAAAATTTTTATATTCAATGAGATTTGATTTTTAGATCTTGGATTTTCTATGTTAATATTCTTTCCTTAAACTGTCAGTGACTATGCAAAGAAATGTGTAATCAGTAGTAGTATAAGGAAAGATAAAATATCTTTAGTCAGACAAAAAAGTTATATTTCATTAACAAGATGTTTTATAGGAAAGACAATAGTATGATTGTTTTGCTTTTCAGCATGTCTTTTTTATTTTCTTGCTGCATGTTTACAGTATTTAATTTGAATATATACATTTAACGCTTTCACAAAAATTATTTTTAAAGAATAAGGAAATAATGTAAGTTGTAAGGAAAGTGTTATTAAATTATGTATATTTTGCAAATATACATAATCTAATAGCATTTTTCTCTTTTTTTGTTCCTATTCATTTTATAATTTTAAGATATTCTTTTAGGATGTTTGTACTTTAAACTCTAAACAGATGATTTAAATTTCTTAGTAAATTCAATATCACTAATTGAGTATCTTTTGTATAACTTGACAAAATTCCAATGTATCTTCATCCTATAGTTTTATCTTAATGATTGAGTATATTCTTTAAATATTATACTGTTGCTTTTTTAAAACTGATATTAATTTTTTTTTAGCTAAAAATAAAAATTTCATTATCCATACCATGTTTTATATAAATAAGATTGCAATAACAATATACCTTAATGTATTTATAAATGGCAATTTGAAATTCTTTCCAAATATATAAGGTGGTTATAATTAAACAGGAGATGTTTAGAGCTCTGTGTTAAAAGAACTATTAAACCAAATGCAACCAAATTTAGTGTGTATGCTTTCCTGATTATTGGATTTTGAATTTGCAAATAAAAAGTTCAGTTCCAATAGTCTCTTGATAACTAACACTGAGTTCAGTGTTAACACAGTTTTTCTTATTTCGCAAGTACTTTCAACGAGTATAAATTCGTTGTCCTTATGCAAAATTTTTGAAGAAAAATTTGAAGAAATAGAACAGGTAGAGTGTTCCAAGTAGAAAACGAATAAATTTTCTTGGTAATTATTAAATTTTACATTCAGTAATTCCATTGGTAACATGCAACAAGCTTTTGCAGGCATTCAAAAGTTCTTAAATCCACGTGACTGGCAGTGCATGTGTTGAAGAACAATCGTGCTAATTATGTGACTCTTGGCTCTTTTGGTTGTTTAGAGCTGGTGTAAAGTAACCAATATTTCGGGCAAGTCGAGGGTGGGGATGTTGCATCTGCCTGTGGTCATTGTGAGGAGCGCTTCCCAAATAAATGTAATCCTTCTGCTATTACAATGCTTGAGCAATGCTGTTTTTGACCATAGCGGGTTATAGCTCTGCTGTAGAACTTTTCTGATGAGCTCTGTGGTTTGTTTTCCTTTATATCCTCCTGATGTTCTGTGATACGGCAAGCGAGCATTCTTGTTGTTACCCCTATATACCTCTCAGTTATCCCCATTATTGGATTTTCTAGTTGCACTGTGTATACTCCTGATTTTTCTAAAACATCAACTTTATCTCGATCATTGCATATGCTCCTGTGTAGGCTGGGTAGGGGGAGTTAAAGGAAGGGTAAAGCTGTACCGGAAAATACGGCTAATACGTATAGATGGTGCTCCTAGGTATGGCAATGCTGATTGTACTCTAGACATTTTTTTTTTTCTGTGTAGTGTAGTAAACAGGAAAAGGGAATCTTTTACTTTACGTTGTACATGCATAAATTTGGCACCTGTGAATCCAGCATGATATACTGCTGTTCTTACGATTTCCAATTCAACTTTTATTAAAGCTTGTGATGAGGGAAGTAGTAGTGCCCTTCTGATGAGAGTTGCTATGGTGGCACTGACATATTGCGATGGTTGAAAGGCATCAGCTGGAATGATATAGGGGATCATGCTAGACTTATGATGCACTGTAAACTGCAGCTCTTCTAGTGACTTTGTATCCAAAAATGTTATAGATTGATCCCACTCCTTTTCCCAGGTGAACTTGATGGTGGAATAGATGCTTGAGAGTTGCTGCATAAACTGGATGAACTCCTCTTCTGAATTTTCCCATATTAGTAGGATGTCGTCTACATAGTGTAAGTATAGTGATGGGTAGCATATAGAAAGTTGGGCATTGAAAGTTTTTTGTTCCATGTCTCTCATAATGAGCTTGGCTAAAACTGCAGAAAGAGGGGAGCCCATGGGAACCCCTTGCTTCTGTAAGTAGACTTTCTGGTTGAAGCAGAAATAGTTGTTTTCAGTGATGAAGATCAGCACTTCACGAATGTCTAGCACCTGTTGAACTGTAAAACCTTTTCTGAGAAGCATAGAGTTGGCTAGCATTACAGCTTCAAATATAGGAACGGATGGGTATAGGGATATTATGCCCAGTTTGTAGAAGGTGCAGGTATTGCCGTGTACTTTAGTCATGCTGGAATCAATGCTGGTCTTGGCATCTATAGAGGAGTGACATGCGTCTGGAGCTATTTATCTATTTCAGTTCCAATGTTTCCCAATAGAGGAAATTTAGTGCTAATGCCACTGCAATTTCATGTTATATAAATTGGAGAACAACTTTAGGGTTAGGGTTTAGGGTTACATAGGTTGCAATGCATGTTTAATGTGGATTAGTAACAAGTCATTCTGCTTACATTACCTGATCATGTATTACTTGATAAACTTTAATCAAAGAAGCAGCAATGATAATATTGCACTCAGAGTTCCATTGTTTGATGTCCTTGTGAAAAGATTGGACTGTTACTAATCCCAAAAAAATATTTTGCATTTTGAGGAAATGAGTACTTTCAATGTGAAACGAAGTAGGTTTTGCATTGAAAGTTGGCATTCTTGTGTTGGCATTGAAAGTTGTGTGCATACTTCAACTTTGGTTAAAGTTGGCAAAATGATGGTAGTGAAGTCTATCATCATAAAATAATGATGATAGCATTGGTATTTTTTTTTTTACTTTCATGATTATTAGTTTTATGTCATGAGTTGTTTTGAGTGAGTGACTGACTGATATTAAAAGTATTGTTGAAACATATTGTCTTCATTAATACTTGTGTTTTTGGAAGAGGAAGGTGTCAATATCATCATCAAAACAATATAAATTTTCATTTGCTTGGATATCTGTTGTTGTTATATGTTTTAAATATATTAGTATTATTTTCTCTTATCTCTGTCAAAATACTTGTAACATTACTTCAAAATTAAAACTTTCAATTTCACTTGTGAATTCATACTTTTTTAAATCTTTGCTATATTTAATAGTGAGATCTGCAGCCAATTTTTTTCAAAATCAGCAACACTCATGTATTGTAAAGATGAGCCACAGAGAAATCAAAAATTGTCACAGATAGTTTTCATTTTTTCATAACACCAATCTATTTGACACAATAGTGTCAAGAATGCTGTAAATTTGTATTTTAAATAATTTTTTGGGTGCCAAGTTACTTCCTTTATTTGGTGTTTTATCTGTTTCCATTATCTTAACTTTTTTTTTTTTTTTCATTTATTAATTAAGAAATCCCTTTTCTATACTTTTTGGTTTGTTCTAAGAATATGAACAATAATATCATCTGTTAATATTGTTGGCCATAAAGCTATATCATTTATTACTTCCATGTATCTATATGTATTGAAGCGTTTTTCTGGACTATTTCTATCTTCTGCGTTTTCGCAATCCTTTTTTTCAGTAGCATTTTAAAGACTGCGGGAGCCCCTTTGGGGCCCTACGTGCCCACATAATTCGTTTACCGATTAATCCGCCATTCAGGTATACACCACATGTGTACCATTATAAAGCAAAAAATGATATCAGAATTTCTGCACGCTTTTTACAACCACTAGACTAAGATTTTATTCGGGAGTTACCGTTTTCAATTTTGTAATTTTAAAAAAATCCTCGGACAGATTTATTTTTGTTACAAAATGTTACCTTTACAGATTTCTAGCTCTGCACACTGTAGAAAAATCTAGAAATACAGTTTTGTATATCGTAATAATAATAGTAGTTGGCAGAGAGCTCTGTAAAGTAGAGAAAAATCTGTAAATTTGAAAACTATAAACATAAATTTAAATTTCTCAAAAAATAAATTAAAAAATCTTAAAAGTTGCTACTTTTGACTGATTTGTCTGAGGTCTCCGCTACCTCACTACGTCCCTCTAAAAGTCGTCACAGTTGGGAACACTGGTGAGCAGACATCTAGGGTCTAAGTAAGGCAAAATGTAATCGCCAAACTGTGCTGTAGAAAGGCGGAAAAATTTAAAATTTAAAAATATAATTTCTTGTGAACAGCAGTTTGGGCCCCCCCTTCCAAGTGGGCCCTGTGTGGGTGCACCTGTTGCACCTGCCTAGTTACAGCTCTGGTGTATAGTGTTCTGGTCTTTGGTGATGGAGGATCCAATAGAACTTGTCAATGTTGCTGGTCTTCAATAAAATCCCTGAAACTTGTAAAATAGTTCTTGTTTATATATACATTTCTATATTTGCTTAAGTTAATTGACATTTAATACTTGATAGAATATAATACAAATGTATATTAAATAAAAATGACAAATTTTAACCAGTTTATAATTTTGATTGACTGCAATATTAATTTATAAAATGGTAAATAATAGTTAAAATTTAAACAGTATTTATGTATCTGACAGTCTTTCTGATGTTTGAGGTTTATTTTTAAGATTGCTAACAATTCTGCATTTATGCTCTATCATTAAAGAACTAAAAGAAATGCCAAATTCTGATTTATAGTGTATGAAAAAATATAATTCTCAAATAAAATATTTATCATGCTTAGCCAAACATGAAATAGTTTAAAATTTTAGAAAATGCATTAATATAGTATTACTGAAATTGTTTTGAGATGATATGATATATTGTAATAATTTACTATTAATATTTATATAATTGCCTTTGCACATTAATTTAGTCCTATAATCGATATAGTAGAATTAAAATAGTATGTTGCATATTTATATATGTCAACGAATAGTGATAATTAATCAGTGAATCATAATGAAAGTAAATGTTAATAAATAAGATCAAATTTTTATTAAATCTTAATAATAATAAAACAATAAGAATAAATTTAACAAAATTCTGCTTGGAGTTTTACAGTTTGAGTTTTAGAGAGATCTGAATAATAGTTTAAATTACAGATCTGTCAGATTTTCTCTAAAAAACAAATGTTTAGTGTTAAAAATAATAATATTTTTAAGACTAAACATTTGTTTTATTAAACAATAACGAAAATGTTGTTATTTTATTAAATTTAATTGCTGAATTTTTTTAAGGTGTGATTTTTGTTAAAAATAATGAGAGCAAGAGATCATTGGCTAATGAAGAGACAAAATGCATCTATTTTACCAATAGCATTTTATAGATTATCTTGAAAGCACTTAATTTTGTTTACAATAAGTTATGTTATTTTAAAAAACAAGCTGCTATACTGTAGTGATCAATACATTATATTATATATTGTAATAGCATATGTTTATATTTGAAAATACCTCATTTTCAGTTGTTCTCACTACATTTTATACTCTAGTAGTTTTGTTTAAACTTTCAGCATTTGTGTAACTTACTGGGCTCTATAGATGTTAATATTTGATTTTTATGATTCCACAATAAAAATGACTGTTTTATATTTGATTTTTTTCTAGTTAATTTTTTGTAATCAAAATTTTACTTGAAATTTTTTTTTATTTCTGAACATTAAGCATTATTGCAATATAAATTTGTTTGAATATTTTTTCTAGTGGATAAGAGCAGCGTTGTTATGAAATTTTTCTTCAAAAAAATTTTTTTTTTGTAAATTAAATAGTTTTTCAGAACTCCTGAATATTGCACAAAATCTTAGGCTGTAATTTCATTGGACACAATTTAAATATCACTGTTCTATAGATTAATAAGCTAGTTTATACATTTTCATAAACCTGTTGCACATAGTGCATTTTTACTAATCTTTCAAACTAATTATAAGGTTATTCAGATTAGTGAAAAATTTGTATTAGTGTGATTATAGATAGAGAATAGGAAGTTATAAAAAATTGCAAATAAATCCTTATAGTAAAAAACTTTTTAAATGTGTTTGGTACATATGTTCATGTTAATTATTTTCCATATATATTTATCATTTTTTTTAGAAAAGAAAGACAGCAAAAAATAGATTTCATATTATAATTGTTATACTAAATGATAGTTCTATTATTATTACTATTATTGCTATTATTTATGTCAATATAACAAAAATTATTTCAGTTGTTAAGTTTGGCTATTTTCCAAATACAACCAATTCAGATCAGTTTACATTTACATTTTTATTTCTTTAGTCTGAATTATCTTAATGATACTTCTCATACTTGTTTTAATTTTTTGGTTGTTTTTTTATATAAACTTTTTAATTCAAATTGCTTTTTGTATATGAATATTGCATTTAATGTATTTTGTAAGAATACTATTCAATATAGTCACTTTCTGTAAGTGGTTATTTATTTACAGTAAATTTTAAAGAAATTTGTTTTTCTTGTATGTAATTTTTGTATCTACATAATTTTTTCTATACTGGTAAGAGTGCAAGATGTATAAACTAGTATTTCAGAAAAAAATTATTAGAATCATGAAAATCAGGTGAAATAAATGATTATGCAAAAAAAAAATTCTCAGGGAAAAAATTGATAATTTGGAATTGGAAGAAAAATGATTTTGGAAAAAATATTTTTCTTTGAGCGTAAAAATTAGAATGCTTTAATATTTAATTCAATTATATTATAAATTTTTAATTTTCAATGATTTAGGTTTTAATTGATTGAATTAATCAAATATTCATTCAAAATCAAAAAAATTAAATATTTGTAAGTTAGACCTATGAAAATAATTCAAATAATTTGAAAATGTGAAAAAATGCAATATAGAAACATCAGTAGAATGGGCCCTGTGTTAAATTTGTTTTTAATGCAATGTTTAATGCAACAGATAACTTTTATCTTTGATATACAAAATTTAAAAAAAATTTAGATTGAATAAGAAAATATTTCTCAATTAAATATTATTGATAAAACTTTATTTTCTTGTTTTTATTTATTTATTTTTTTCTTTCAGATAATTTCAAAATAAAAATTAAGCTAATAATAAGAATATGTTTTCATTATTATATTAATGATGATTGTCATTAATAAATTTTCAGTTCAGTAGCAATGTATTTGTTATAGTCAGTTTTTCTTATTTTGGAGAAAATAAAATTTATGAAAAGCTTTAATATAAAATAAAAATTAGAGTTTTGTAATTTTATTCTAATGTATTTCTCAGAAACAGTTTTTATATACAACTGACATTTAACAGGAAGTGTGAGAAGTAATGTAACAGTATTGAAGGAAGTAATTTCACCATATGACTAAAATTAATGCTAGTAAAATTTATAGCTTCTAAA